GTGAGCTAAGAGAGACCAAAATTTATGAACTTGTGATAAATCAGCAATAGGAGGACAATAATTTTATATTTATAGGTTATAGTTTTACAAAAATTGGGAAGGGGTGGTATTTTTAGTTAATATTAGCAAATGGGTGGTAGTGGAGGTCATTTACCAATAAATAACGTTGTAGTGTTGTATTTCACACGATAGTAGATGAAAAATACCATTGTCTATTTAGCATAAAGACAGAAAGTAAATGCAAATGCAGAGAAAACCAAAATTGAGTGAGAATCAATATTACCTTTGCATCTTCCTAAGGTTTAGAAGGAACAATCTTTGATTCTTTTCTATACTTTGTTAGATTTTAGGGCTTCAATATTCCACTTGTGTGAAAGAAACCAGAAGAATACGGAAATTTCAAATGTTTTGGATGATAAAAACTGATATACTTATTACATAAGACTAGTCCGAGCTCAAACAAGAGGTGTTTGACCCGGTCAAACAAAAGACTAAGAACAAAAAAGCTCGAATAAGTAAATGTTAGGGGACCAAATATTTAACAGAAATGAGTTAAATATTCCTTTGTTTATCAACTACTACTCTGCCTTACTATAACTGCATTTATATTTATTCTTCTCACAACAAGCATGGTCAAGCTAAAGTACATATTTAAATTGTGTTTAATTGTGGTTTTAAGATAATCATCCTAATTAGTATTACCAAGAAGCGTCATTCAAGTGCTGATTAATCACAAAGCTGCATATCTGATCTCAGAAATGATTATTGGTAGATGATAATGCATGAATTCACAGAGTCGTTTAACATCATCTAAAGATCATTTCGACCAAAAAAATAATAATCTAAAGATTGCATTAAGTACAGTAAAAAGATTTGTTGGTTGTCGCAAAGTTAATTCCCTGTTTCCCTTCTTTTTAAATTCCCATCTCTCTTTGACTTTTGTTTTGTTGCAGTTAATTTATGAACACATCAGAAATATTTAATGGAAATGCTAATGTAACTGGTTGTCCGGATACACACACTAGACTTAATTTCGGTTGTCTAATTGTCAATATATTAGGTTTATCTTACATTTACTAGAAACATCTCTTTGAGAGTAAAAACACTCTTTGGCGCCGCACTGGGTGAAGAGGTCTTGGTTCCTCCTCCCCTCTCCGCACTTCCTTCCCTGTTTTCTCTTCCTACAAGCCCTTGCTTTCCTCCCTACTCTCTGTGAGGGTTTCCTCTCTCCCTTGTGAGAGTTCATCCTCTCCACTATGAGAGTTTTTACTTTAGTAAATTTGGCTTACACCCTTCAAATTCAATTTGCCATATCTAAAACCCTTCACTCTTTGTTCCTATAAATAATACCCAATTTGTATAAGTAAAAACCCATGACTAGGATTCAACTCAGCAAGTTACCTAATTAAGCATAAAATCTGATTTATTGTACTTTTTAGATTCCAAAAATACTCCCAACTAAGCCATTATTGCATTTTGTATATTAATGTAGGAATCAA